CATGCATAACTGAGATACGGGTCCGGAATGGTGAAAATGTGCGATTTCAATGCATTTTTGGCCTTAAAGCGGCCCCCATTTGGCTATCGTTAATGAGATCATGAAACAAATGCACATACATATTTGTGACATGATGTACCTTGTGTGTGTGAAGTTTGAACTCGTTCAATCCAGGCATGTCTCGGATACGGATCCAGAACTGAATTCTTTAAAACAAAATGGCCGCCAGTCGACCATTTCAAACCCGATCCAAAAAAAAAAATGACGTGCATCAAGGTCCTATTATGTTTAATGTATGTACCAAATTTGAACAAAATCCGTCCATGCGTAACTGAGATCCAGGTCCGAAATGGTGAAAATGTGCGATTTCAATGCATTTTCGGCCTTAAAGCGGCCGCCATTTGGCTATCGTTAATGAGATCATGAAACAAATGCACATACATGTTTGTGACATGATGTACCTTGTGTGTGTGAAGTTTGAACTCGATCAATCCAAGCATGTCTCAGATACAGATCCAGAACTGAATTCTTTAAAACAAAATGGCCGCCAGTCGGCCATTTCAAACCCGATCCAAAAAAAAAATGACGTGCATCAAGGGCCTATTATGTTTAATGTATGTACCAAATTTGAACAAAATCCGTCCATGCATAACTGAGATCCGGGTCCGGAATGGTGAAAATGTGCGATTTTGATGCATTTTCGGCCTTAAAATGGCCGCTATTCGGCTATCGTTAATCGGATCATGAAAAAAATGCATGTGCACATGTCCCATATAATGTGTGATGTATGAGTGAAGTTTGAACTTAATCGGTCCATGCATGTTCGAGATACAGGTGATCACGGATGGACGGACGCACACAGGGCAAAACATAGTCCCTGTTTTCGGACTGCGTCCGAACGGGGACTAAAAACAAAAAGTATTTGAACTTTTGAGGGTTGTTCAACATCTATGCATCTATGAAAACCAGAAAATTGTTAGTAGTCCGAATTTTTGCAGTCGAAAATAAAGCGGAAATTCAACAAGCTGTCGCAAAAGCGAGCGATTTGAAAAGCGGAAGCGGGCGAGAGGTTGGGCAAAATGAGTTCTGTACTTCTGTGTTTGATGAAGCGATGCTGATGCCACATTGTCACCATAATGAGGCCACAATGAAGCGAAGCGATAATCGCCTAACTTTTTAATGTCGCGACATTGATGCGATGCTGAAGCCATAACAATGCCATAATGATGCGATGCTGAAGTGAAGCCAAAGCTTCCGCGAGAACTGTACTGTAGGTTTCCAACTACAGAGGTTATAGATAATGAGAGAAATGATTTACTCACTTAGATGTATAACTGGTTCCGTCATACAATTCACGTTAACAGATGTACGGCAGAACAAATCAATAAATGAATGATATGGAAGGAAGAATTCATTGAGACACTGATCATACACATCATCATTACCCTGGGAAGAGAGAATTGAAAATCATATCATAACACCTTATGATGCCAAAGTAATTTTTAACACACATTATTCAAAAAACTCTTAAAAATGTTGAACTTGAAATCAGTTCAATCATTATTCGAGTTGGTATTTTCAATTTTTCTTCAATTTCCTCCGAGTCCAATGATTATTTTGTGCCAAACAGATTCTCTTTAATATTATAAAACTTTGATCAAAATCTCTTGTGGAAACCAGAAGATTTGTAAAGTATCTATTTTGTAGACAAAAGCTACCGGGGTACGAGAGGTTACCGTAGTCAGGCATCATTCTTTTTAGGGTTCAGGAAAAAGTGAAAGGCTTTAATTTGGTTCGAAAATAGACATCACAAAAAAAAAAAGTAATATGCATTGGTTTTAATAAAAAATAATACAAAAAGTATAGTATGCATTGCTCAGTAGCAAATAATCACAGTAATGCAAGTTGCTCATGTTGCGTTTCACAAGCAAATAACTTGCTCAATTTAAAATTTATCATGAACTATTGTTTTTGGTCATACACAAACTCTTGAACAGTACAATATCTGCTATGATTAGCGAATGCAGATCATATATCAATGTTATATATCATATATCAATCTCATACATCAACATTTATCAATGTTGTAGTACTATTTTTTGCTATTGATTTTGGTGGAAAATACACGTTTTTTTTTTCGTTTTTTTTTACAGAGATTGAAATGTTTGAAAAATTGCACCTAAATTAGTGTATTTATGACCGATCAGTTATGAGAATTAATGTGGAACATTGACCTCTACGAGCCAGTGAAAACGAACAGTAGTGTTGTTTTGGTGCAGACTGTATAATTTCTTGCAATCTGGCAACGAGAGAGCAATCCATGAGTGTGTGTTGAAGCATTTTGCCATCAATTAATTAAAGCTTACCAATGCTATTTCAATATGATTATGATGAAGACACATCTGTAGTTCTGGGCATGGTGGTCTGATATTTGCTTTGTTTAACATTGAATGCTGAACACGGCGTGGAAAATATGGGCCAGAGGCTGTAAATATAAATATAATTTAATGAAGTCAACTAGCAATGAAATCTACAACAAAACACACAAATGATATAACCAATGTTCACAAGTCATTTATGTAATTCATATCATATCAATCAACTATGCTAGTGTTTGGAATGGTTAATTCGCTCAATTGCAAATTGAGAAAATCATGTGGTCGTGTCTACAATAATTTAACTGTTATTCCTACTCACCAGTAACTGGGGACTTCTTGAAAGACATGTGAGAATGATGGATGATTGGTATAAGATGTTGAATGCACTCTTTGGGATAGTACATCACAATCTCTTTGAGCAGTTCTAAATGATGAAATCAGAATAACAATCAAAGAACAGAAATAAGATATGAAACAAACATCAGAATGTAATCAAGAATGAAGACTTGGAAAGTTCAACTGTTGAACTGTTATAGATGGAATACATTATGGTTTTCTACAATTAAAAGCAGTTATAAACTGAGAACCTCTATGAAGTGAACAATTACATTGGTGTTCTACATAGACAAGATTAAATATTGACAATTTAGTTCAAAAAAAGGTTGCCACTCACCATAGCACTCATGCCGAAGCTCTTCTGGGTTGTATGGATTCAATAACAGTAATAATTTCCTGGCAAAGTCCATTCTTTCCTTCCAAGTACCTAATGCCACTTTAATTTCTGAATCAAGCCAATAATATAATGAAGTAATTCCCCAGAAATGAAAAACCTTTTTAAAACTTATTGCTTATTTAAATTCTCCGCTATAGGTAGGATATAAATGGAAAAATGCACACTATTTTGCTTGTATACACAATTCTTTTGAAATCATGAAATCTCCAAGACAACAAGGTTGACTGTATTCTTCGATGAATTATAAACACAAGATTCAGAATTCAATATGGTCTTGAAAGATGTGATGTCTAAGTTGCCAGATCTGCTCTTGGCAGGCCAACCCCACATAAAAGACAAACCGATACTTCAGAAAAGTCAATGTTGTTATCTATCTGACCTACTCCTGTCACTCTCATAACAGAAGAGCTGTATATTATATTTCAAAAGCTTAAATAAGGTACAGGTGGCACTGCAAAAAGATCCACGTTTTGTGGTTTATTTATTATTTTCTTTTGTTGATTTTAACTTTTTTGTATTGTATTTATGTTATATATTTATATAATTCATGCATAAAAGTTCATGGATACATTGTTCTGAAATACATAAATTATGAATTACTGGTATACCAACCTTTGTGATCAGAGTAAAATTTACCACATTTAAACACTGAATAGGTTATTGCAATTAATTCTATTAAATCTCCCAGCACATGGCAAGCTGTGGCTTCATGGTACATCATATGTAAAGTACTGAATGCCTGAAAAGTTAAAACAGAGAAATACAGTGTTTACAAGACTCTGGATATATATTGTGCCAAATATATTGATTTTTTATTTTTGGCATTCAATGTTCAAATTATATGCACAGAAATACACCACAGAGCAATCACAGACATTGAAATCCTCCTAGTTTGGTAGCTCACACACAACTTGTTGAAAACTTAATAGTCATAATTACACAGTAGTTTGAATATCACAAGTTATGAAAATGAGAGACTTGTACTCACATCTGCAAGTCTGCTCAAACCTTGGTTGCAAATTACACAATATCTGTCATTGTTATCATCAATTAGAATCCGGAATGCACTGCAAAATGAACAGATTGTCAATACATAGTCCATGTCTTTTATTTAGTGTCTTTGACACCTTAAAAAGACATCAGTATGCCAACAGTGTGATGTTCACACAAAATTTTATTGATTTTTTTATTTTATTGAAATTTGCACCTGTCTGATAAACAGGCCAACATTGGTTCAAACTGGATTAGATAAATCACATATTCTCAAATTATATGTGCGGTTTTTGTACTAACTTTAAACAGAGTTAGTCAAACGGTAAAATTCTGCAGGCCACATAGTCTGATGTTTTGTGTTACACACACAAGGATCATAGAAGGACCATAAACTAATAGATAAAAACGCAAATATTTAATTTATTTGAGTATACCTAATCAGAGTTGTCCAGCATGAATTGCGCTCTAGACATTCTAAGTAACATAACAAAGTTGCACGTTTAAAATTGCTTATTTCTCTCAATTCTTGGTCACTCATGCCAGGTCTCTTGGTAACAAACAGCTTCATCAGACAAAACAGCTCATCCACAGCCTATGAAAAGAAAATCATTTCAAGAAGTCATTGACAGATGTAGTCCAAGATTATATACAATTATGTGCTGTTTTTAGACAGACTAACAAGTGGCCACTAAGGTCAACAAGACAAAAAATACAAATCGATGTGTCTATTTCAAGCATAAATACACAGAAAGAAACCCATTTCTGAATATATCTGACAGGTACTTTAATAATGTAATAATCTGAAGAACACAAAAAGACATTAAACTAACCGTTGCATATTGACTAGCATAAGGTGTTAAGTTCTTGAAAGCCCATTGTAGGTTTTGGTGTCCAGCTAACTGCCTTGTAAATGACGGAGACTGCTGACAACACAGTCGTAATAAACCATAGTAAGCTGGTAACATCACCCGATTAAATAGTATTACTTCTTGATCATCATGATCAGCTCTGTATAAAATATTACACAAGAACGTTGACATATTTCGCAATATAGGGGGGGGGGGGTATAGTACAGTTGAGAGAACTCATTGAAGAATCCAAAAAATATGCTTTGAAATAAAGATTCAACCATTGGTAAATTATTACACATCATTTACCCCCATGGAGCACTTTCAGACTGTCGCCAACAAGTTTTTAATGAATGAAGCGTTTATTTACCATTGATAAAAGCATCAATTTTTTAGAATAGACCTACTTACAAGATATAGTTGAATGCTATGTTTTTTGTAACAGAGACATTATCTACTATTAACTTGACGTTCTCTGGACAATCACAGCACACATTGTACCAGAACAACAGCAGTGCCTGAAAAACATAAACAGCTGCAGTCAGATGTATCATATTAAATGTGTTTAAAATATCACATTTTTTTTAGTAGGTTAGTGGTCTTATGCGAATCGCGTTTCTCAAAATTGTGTACCAGACACCAGGCAGGGCAAGTAAGTTTAAAATTTGACCAGCCAAGAAATTAACAGCCCTGCATTAAAAATTATTCCAAATCTAAGTAAGCACTACAATAATAGATTATTTAAATTCTCTATTTTAAATTTTTTCATGATTTTTGTAGCAGCCTTCAAAATTTTATCCAATTATTTTATTTACCAGTATTAAAATAGCATTTTCTAAATTTTCATTGAAATAGACAATGAAAAAACGTTTTAATTTTTATTAGCTCGACAGGCATAAAGTAATTTCAAACACAGGTCATTGGCTTTTTAACAATACATTCTTGTTTTCTTCTAACATCATAACATCTAGAAAATCAAAATCAATAGCATTGTCAATACGCAGGATAGCCTCATTGATATTATTATGGATAATAACACAAGTTTAATAAATACATGTTTCATATTTACCTGTTTATTATGGTTGGTGGATATGGCAGGTTCAGATAATTTGGGTTGAAACAATTCCCAAAGATCACTGAAGTATGGCGAGAACTAGAAACGATTAGAAAATAATATATGAAATTTTATCAAATATTATTATTGTACAACAAAGCAACTCATAATTTATTTATAATCATATAACAATATATGATAAATATTTTGAACGACTGTGTGGAAGATATAATATGGTTTTGCTGACAGACAGATAACTCACCATTAGTTTCTCTGTTCTACTTAATAGACAGTAGCTAAGCAATGCAAAATATGAAACCAACTTGCCAGTACCATGAACATTGGAGTCTACAATATAAAACATTCATAAGACAATCCATGAAAACAGACAAATTACATGACGGACAAGACAATCAATGTCTAACAAAGTGATCCAGTAGACTAACACTATTGAAATTACCAAATACTTTTTAATATCAAACAAATTAAAAATTCTTATTATTCCCTTGACTTACACACAACAAGTAAATTCCTTGTGTGATTACAGTGTTCTTATCAGTATTCCAATAACCCCATTAACTTCCCCCAGATGGTTGAATTAAGTGCAAAAAAGATTCATATGAATAATTTCAACTTTCTTTGTAGTCACAATAATGTTAAAATAAAAACAGACAACAACTAAGCCATAGTGCATACCAAGACAAAAGTTTATTAGTTCGAAATAAAGTGGCACCAGGGGAAGGGAGATTGTTACATTAGGTCATTTGATAGTGCCAATAAAAAAGTCCCTTGCTATATTGCAATGTTTGTAGGGGAGTTTGCTAACTCTCCGTACCAATCTGCCTGCTGTAAATACACATCCACATGATGACATAAGGCTAATATATGCAGTAAACCACCCCGGAATATATTGTTTGTCACCACCATGCTTGTATGGATCTAATGATTCATATACTTACCAACATAGAGCCTTGCTCGACATAAAAGTCTTAGAAGTAAACTGTAAATTTGATGTAAAACTGATAAAGCATCTGGACTCATCTAAAACAGCAAAAGATATACAATAAGGTAGATGTTAATGCTATATACACTAAAGTATGTGTTTTCTTGTAGTTGGGACAAGAAGCCCAGGAAAAATATTTTCTTTCACAACTGATGCCCAAAGCAAGACCATCATGAGATGTAATGCAGTGTATTAATTCTTGGAAATTATCGATCCACCATCAATTTAACTTTGCTGACAGACAATAAACTTAATCACTGAGTTGCATTTGTCACAAATGACAAAAATACTAGATTTTTTCTTCAAGTTCACACATCACCTTCTGCAAGCCTCAACGGATAGGTGATGTGTTAACTGAAAAAAAACATCATATTAAATCAATACCCACCCTAAGTTCTTTCTGTGGACTATGAATACTCCTGGCTGATCTGAAAGCTTGTCTGAAGTGATTATCGGGAACCAGAGACACCAGGAGAAATGCAGCAGCTGAAAATAATAGGACAGAGATAAATGGGATTAGTAAACCAGGCAATGCTTACTGTCAATGTGTTGACTCATATACCTTCTCATCACACTATTTCAGTGATATTCACCAACTGTATTATACAAGACACGGGTCAGTTACAATGTATGTCATAAAACTTCCGTCATCTTGTCATGATAGGAATACTGTCCAATAATTCCAGTATGTCACATGCATGAATGTTACGTGAATACTTACAGTTTCTAACCCTTGGATTATTATGTGATATCAGGAAAGGTTCCACCCAAGACTCAATATTTTGTAATACATATGAGTGAGCTATTCTATTACGTGGTGTCTGTGCTGCTAACCATTCTAAACACTGCTGTGGACTGCATTCAGCAACCTGTAAGCAACAAATAAACAAAGATGTCTCAGTACACTAGGACAACTAGTAGGTGTGAAAACGACATTCAATTTTACTGATTTGATAATTTAAGGGCTTTCTTGAAATAAAATTTGAAGCCAAAATGAAAGTTTCAGTTACAAAATTTAAATTTTTGAAAATTTGTCTCCCGCAAAATAAATTGATGAGTCGCCAAATATCATGTAAACAAACACATCCATGTGAAACACCATGACCTTTATAGTTTAAAGTGTCAGTATGTGCTGTATCTCTGTTTATTGCATGCATGCATGGTCAATCCATTTCAAACACAGCAATAATTTTTTTCAACAGATGATTGATTGAGAAATACACATGATAATAATTTGTTAAGTGACCATAAGTTCGTTGAAAATCTTGAATGCTGCATCAGAAGCCTAGAAGCTTTGAATTAAGATGACTTACCTCCCATATATTGTGTAATATCAATGTTGTAAATGGAGGCATCCCTGGTGGTCCTCCACCAACCAGCTCAACTAACATGGATAATAGCTTGAAGAAGGGTTGGGCAGCCTTAAAAATAAATTAATTCAATACATGTTCTATTACTGTACTTCTCATACTGGAATTGGTGATTTTATCATTCACTCCAAGATCCCACGTTATATGTAAAGTTGAATGTAAAAACAGAACATATGTCATAATGCTGCAGTGGTGTCAAAACATTGCACGGGATTCAACACACACACGGAATTGTTGTGCAGGTATTTCTCTGCTTAATAAATAAGCTATACACATTTGATAATGGTCAATTTTGATTAAGTAAAGATATCTCAATGCCACTTTCCTCTCTGAAAAATAGTAATTTTAATATTGAACTATAAAAAAAAAGTTTAAAATCAAATTAGCTGATTTTTGCGGGCAGATTCGGTCCGCAAATTTGACACAATACACAAGATCTTGCAGTGAACAGAAAATTGTCTATTAGAGACTGGATTGTGTGTACATACAACAGTGTTCATTTGTAGGTGTTCTTTTCTCAAGCAATTTAATTTTAGATAAATATAGTTACATTCATGATGTTTCGCTATTAAACAAATATTACAGCATGCCATTTGAAGATGAAATAAAGCATAAATCTCATGAAAAACTTTTTAGGGGAGTTTAAATAGTCTCATATGTTATCTCAGATTAATGTATGTCAGTCTTACCTCTGGATTGGTTTTCCCAATGGATAGAAATATCATTCTAACAATCTGAAAAATAAAATATTACTTAATAATGAACAAACATTTTTATATATTTCCCATATGAAACTTTTCCAAGGCCAGATATGAAAGACTTCAAAATGTAGCTAAACACGAGAATGAAGGTCACCACAATGGATGACAATAACAACCTGCAACCACATTGTTATATTTACCAGCTTACCTGTTCAGCTAGCCGTTGATTGTGTCTACATAGACTGAAGATCAGATTACATGTGTGTCTGATATTAATGCCATCACGGATTTGTTGAAACAGAAATGGAAAAGACTGTAAAATAAGAAAATATTGAGTCTAAATTTTGCGAAACATGTATCGTCAGGATTACAATGGTACTGGTAGGTAGTCTGAATTCAGATGTCAGTCAGTTTATAATGATCCCCATATTAACTGGCAATTGCAGCCAAGTAATTTGAAGTAATTTTAATAACATGATCTACATTGAAACCTTGACTGAGATATGGTCTGATAAGAGTTGCTAATAAAATAACAAATTTTTTGTGTACATCAATGTGTACTCAATTGTTTTTGCTGACCTTGTTTTTGAAAACACTTCAAGAATGGATTTCAAAAACAAAATACCTTTCCCCCTGTCAGAACAGCCAGATCACTCTGTGCTAGAGTTAATCTTCTATCAACTCGTGAGGATTCTACTAACATAGCTATCAATGTTATCATTTTCTCTAGTGATGCTGGTCTGTATTTCTCCTCAGTCAAGGAAACAACATCCTCTTCTTCGTCATCCTCATCGGGATCATCATCTGAAACCACTTCAACCTGTAATAAAAGCAAAGTTATCAAACATCCTGCCATCCTGAGTTGGTTGAAGTATTAATCCTCTGAACAATCTTTGAATGGCAGCCCAATCAAAGTACATTTATTACAGAGATAACAGAGTTACAACAGATAGTTTGCAAGCATTCAGTATTCCAGTAGATGTTAAAATAATCCACACAATGCAAGTAAAAATGATAAACAATGGTGGTAGATAGATCAGGATTGTAAGAGCATAAACTTGCAGAGGGGACAACATTTATTTTGATCAAATTAACAACACTTTTTTTTAAAAGAAGCATCTTGGAAGAAGAATGACTTAATAAAAATCAACATCAAGACGATACTCACATAATCTGGAGCTTTGGATCCAAGATAAAAGTTAGCCATAATTGTAATTGCTTCTATTGATAACAGGAAGTCACTCTGTGGAGAAATGATCATGTTAATGAAATCTACATTAGCAATCAATGTCAATAAATGGACACATAACAACCAATCACGTGAAGTGAACACACTGGAATCAATAAATGGACACATAACAACCAATCACGTGAAGTGAACACACTGGAATCAATAAATGGACACATAACAACCAATCACGTGAAGTGAACACACTGGAATCAATAACTGGACACATGGCAATCACTGAATAAATACATGGCAACAAGATTGAAAACATGGTAATAGATAAATGATTACATAGAAAAAAATCAAATTACTTGAACACATGGCAACCAATCCCACAAATGAATACATCGCTATCAATGAGTGAACACATTGATTGCCAATCAACTGAATATATTGTTATCAATCACAAAGATTGTACCAATCACAACATAGAACTCAATCTCACTGCTGAACACAAGACATCAAATTCCTCATTGCAACCAAACCCACAGCATACAACAGGCCCTCAGTCTTCTCTTTATGTTCAAATTATGTATAAATAAACAAAGAATTTTTATCCAGTGATGAAGTGAGACTTAAATGTTTGGTTCAGTCATTAAGAATACGAGTTTTTTTTATCACAATCATTAATGATATTTGTTGTGAATGAGATAGCTAGCGTCTTCTATGAATAAATACAGAATAATTAATAGGATTCTCACCTCAAGTTTTCCCATTCTGGCAAAATTATACAATAATGAAAAATATTCTGTAAGGTGTTTAATATGTGGTTTAGCACCATGTTCAATCTGAAATTAATAATAATTATTAGGATATTAAAAACATTACTGAACGTTTGCTAGACATGACTACGGTTGCATGTGTAGCATTCCTTCTCGAGTCAATCAAATATATTATGCAGCAATACAGAAACTGATTTACATAACTTAATTATTTTCTCATGTTCTTCATATAGCCATGTAGTTCAAGCATCAATATCTATATTTATCACTTTTTACAAGTCAAAATCTGCACAATTGTTTCCAGATTACTTAAAAAAAGTCAATCAAGACCTTCAGCAAATTAGAAAAATACATAAATATGTGCAAAATGATTCACCAAAATTATGGCAACTCAAAGGGTTAAGATTAGAAAACTTACAATTGATAAAAGTCTCTTGATAAATCTGGAAACACATGAATAATTCTCAATTTCTTCTGCTGCTATCTCGACATCTTCATCACTGAAAATTGTCAAAATACATGAAATTAATAAATCCCTCCAAAAATAGAAAATGCTATGCTAATACAATTTGGTATGTCTAGTTTTATCGTTATCGTGATACAGAAATTTAACCACTGACATGACCAATGACACCTTCCTTCATTTTATTTTCAGATGTTGCACTATCACAGCATTTGTTTCTTGTTTTTTTAAGCCATGGATGGAGCCTATCCAAAATATTCATGTCCTAATGAAAATACAGAATCGAAAATATCATCACAAAATGAATAAATCTGAGAGGCACCCACCCAGGGTATGATTAAAATATGAATTTCAAAGCTATCTGACTTTGTGAAAAAGTTATGTAAAAAACAAGTCATTGAAAATGACACATTCCCTGTAATTTCTCTTTGTGCTCGTCATATTAAAGCGGAGGGGTTGTAGCGAGCATGTCCTTGAAACTTGAGTTCCAAGTGGCGTATACAACAGACTGTTTATTTACATCAAAACACGTGTTTCTTGTCATAGTAATATGGCCAAAATAAATTTAAAACAGCCGTTATTCGGCCATCTTTGATCTGATTATGAAACACACTGATATGTATGATGTATGTGCCAAATACGAATGAAAAAAGTACATAAATTGTGGAAATATAGTAGTAAGGCCAAAAAGTCAGATGGCTGTCAATCGGCCATCCTTGACCAGATTTTGAAACAAATTGTCATGGACATGCATCCTAACATGTATAAAGTACATGTATGTGCCAAATTTGAATGAAACCTGACAGAGCACGTCCAAGCTACCGCATAAAAAAACAAAAACAAGATGGCTGCCAGTCGGCCATCTTTGATCCAATTGTGAAATAAATAGTCATGGTCATGTATCCTAACATGTATAATCCATGTACCAAGTTTGAATGACAACTGACAAAGCATGTCCAAAATACAACATTTTCAAAAAACAAGATAGCTGCCAGTTGGCCATTTTGAATTGAATCGCTAAGCCACTGCATGTGCATATGTCCCACATAAGGTACTAGGCACATGCAAAGAATGAACAGAATTGGTCCACAGGATTCTGAAATATGACGTTGGACAGACTGATGCACAGACAGACGGACACACGAACGGTCGGACGGACAGACTCAGGAACTCACGGACGGTCGGGGACATGTATTCTAACATGTATGATCTATGTACTAAATTTGAATGAAAACTGACAAAGCATGTCCAAAATACAACATTTTCAAAAAACAAGATGGCTGCCAGTCGGCCACCTTTGATCCAATTGTGAAATAAATCATCACGGACATGTATCCTAACATGTATAATCTACAGTACAGTTCTCGCGGAAGCTTTGGCTTTTGTGGCATCATTGTCGCATACGCATGGCTTCATTGTCGCCTCACCATCGCATCGTTGTGGCATCAGCTTCGCGTCATTGAAAATTGAAGCTGTGTTCGCCTCTCTTATTTTGTGGCATCATCGTGGCCTCAGCTTCGCAGTCTCATGGCATCAACATGGCATCAGCTTCAAAGTATTGTGACATGAGCCTGACCTCATTATTTTCACATGGAAAGGCAGTAGAGAAAAAAAACACATGTACAAAAGTTCAATATGTAATCGATTTGAAATTCAAAGCGGTAAGGGGAATAAAATAATATGAACAAGAGTAAAATGACATTTTAAAAAGATATCTTGTTTAATTATTTAATGTAGCAAGTATTGGGTACCAAAAACTATGTGAAGTACATTGCAATCTGCAAGGTGACGAGCGTCATATTGACTGCAAGGAAAATCGTGATAAATTTAA